CCTGTAGAAGCAAGAGCTTGTCCAAGTCAGGTGTTTAGTGCGCGGGCGGCATTGATCCCGTGACGCATGCCTCCAGACTGCTGCCGCTTGTCGTGGGAGACGCGTAGAGTGCCCTTTGCTCTCTTGACCTTGCAAGAAGAGGGACGGTAGCTATACCCTGAAGCGGACGCCGACATGCAAGGTTCCCCCAACTCTGCCGCCACATTTTTGCGGGCGCATGAGCCAAAACACTCTGTCCGCAGCTGTATGCAGGAAGCCAAGCTTTCACAGTTCACACGCACACGAGTCGCCCAGCACCGTCTAGTTTTCGGGACGTCGCTGGGCCGAGGAAGATGCACCCAAATGCCACTGCCGAGCTGGTCACGCAGGTCAATGCAGAGTGACGGCTCAGGGGTCGTAACCGATGCCTGCCTGGCAGCTCAGCGTCGCTTCCTTTTGTACCGGCCTGTGCCAGCAGGCTCTGAGCCCTACAGCCATCCGGAATCTTGAGCAATCCACTTATGTTTGGGGCTGCTGGCAAACATTGAGGGTTGGCAGGAGAGGACCACAAGCCCCGACCTCTGGTCTGTCGCTCGCCCGGTCAGTGCAGCATGCGAATGGGATGAGGACCTTGGCGTGCCGTGACACCCAGGCTGAGGTACAACCATGTAAGCTTCTCCACCGCAACGCCTTGGGCCTCAAATTCTAGGTGTCAGGCGCGCGCTTCGTGGCAAGTTGGCCCTTCTCAGAAATCGGGCGCCATGTTCCACTCGGAAGTGCATAGGGCCTTAGGGCCTAGGGCGAGCTTGGGGAAGTTGCAGGGTTTTTGGTTGTTCCACGGTTTGCAGCTTACAGCCTCCTTTGCCTCAAGCGCGCACGGTCCTCGCCGGAGGCTGCCTTCAGCCGCCCTCGGGTGAAGTGATCACCTCCCAGAGGAGTTGCGGCAGCCAATCGGCTAGGGTTTAGGGTTCAGGCTTTAGGGCTTAGGGGTTTAGGGGTTTAGGGGTTAGGGATTAGGGTTTAGGGAAAGCAGATTGTGCAGCTTAGAAGGCCCAGACATTGAGTCCCAGTTCTTCAGGATCAGGTTCCTGGCACACCGAGCCCTGGGCAAAAGCCGGCCAGGGAGAAGGAGCAAGGCCCACGGCGAGAAGTAGCAGCAGCTCTCTTGAGCTAACCCGGAAGCCCCAAAACACCCCCTAAACCCCTAAGCCCTGAACCGCCTCTGAGATCAAGATTGCCTGTGTAGCGTTGTTTTACAGCAGCTGAGCCCCTTCTAGTCTTCTTCTAAGTGGCTTCCGCCGACCCCTACCAGTACGCTCCCTGAACCCACTAACATGCCCAGAAAAAGGCAAGAGCCGGAGACCCCCTTGCAAGGCTCAGATCGCAACCCAGCCTACCCAAAGCCCCTCCCTCGCCCCAAAAACAAAGCAAAACTGCCCCTAACCCATGCTGCAAGCTGTGTTATGTGAGTTATGTGAGCCTCTAGATGGTGCAGACGGCCACCTCAAGCCCTTCGGCTGATGTACTCGGAGTGAGACTCCACGGCCTGCTTGTCATGCAGGAAGTGTGGGTTTATGCTTCGGAGGAGTATGCCGACGTGCGCCGCTTTGTGGCCTCGCCTCCTCTGCGAAAGCTGCCTTTGGCAGCCCTCCTTTGGGATCAGTGCGCGTTGCGAACGGCCGGTTTACTGAAAACGATCCCCGAATCGAGCCTCCTGTTGATGGGATTGGGGGGGCCGCCCAGGATCCAGAACGCCGACTTGTGTGGCGCCGTGAGCCTCGGACCCCCTGACCTCCGGTGGCCGGCAGCGATGTTGTTCCTGTAGCCATGGCGTGTGGCAAATGCGGGCAGTTGCACACCCTCAACCCTAAACTTCCCTAAACCCTAAACCCTAAACCCTCCACGCTCCGCCCCTGCTTCTTTGCCCTCAGCCTCCTGGCTCCAACACCTTTTCCCCGTTTCTTGGGCACGCGGGCCTCCGCGCAAGACTGTCCACCCTCGAACTGCATAGGCGCATGGCCCCTGAATGCCAAAAGGAGCCATCAAGCCGAGATGGACACAAAAACGAGCATGTAAGCTAGGTCCAGGCTGTCAAGAAGTGGTTCCCGTCTGTCTTGCGGCTCCCACACTGGAGTCCTTGTGCACTTAGATGGTGGAGATGTCGCAGTTTGCCACCATCTGCCGCCGGTGCTCGTGGAATTTCGGCTGCCAGTCGAAGGGGGCTTGGTCACATGAGCAAATGTTTTGCACTTCCGCAAGCCTCATCTCGATGCACGCTGGGCAACATGGTCCCGGCTCTTTGCGCTTCTCCATGAAAAGGGTGTCTCGACACCTGAAACGCCCAGTTGCCCAAAGCAACATGTCACTCTACCCTCCGAAAATATAGGAAGAGCCCCAGCCGGAATGAAAGACCTATACTGGCTTGGAGATAAACCGACGCTACCTCTCCACGCCCTTTCAGGAATTCACAGATCTCTGAGAATCCTGCTGGTCCTTCAAAGATACCTTGGTGGAAAAGTTCACCCAGAGACCCGAGGGCTGGGGTTTGTTTGTGTTGAAATGGCAGGTCCAAGTTTCGGGCGAGTGCTGAGGGGGTTTGTTGCGCTTGAACAGCCATCAACCCTTACTGCCGGAGCGTCGGAGTTACTTAAGGGGCCCCTTCAACGCTATGCTACCCACCTTCCAGGCGTCCCGACATTTGACAAAGTAGGCTCATTGATTGCCAGAGTCGCAATTCTGATTTGGGCACGGGGCCAGGCGCGCCCGCCACTTCCTGCAACACACGAGCTCCACATAGGAGGCAGAGTGGCTTAAAGGCTTCAGCGCTTTGAGTGCAGATAGGTAGGTTTTCTGTGTTGTCAGACGAAGAGTTCTCATGTCGCACCAGCAAAGAGTGGTACGGCTCTTTGAGGTCAGGGAGATGGCCGAGCATGCCCTCCCCCAAGCTAGCAATCAGCCTGGGGCACACTTAGAAGAGTTTCTCCAGGATTTGGTTCAGGCAAGTCCTATGAAGCATTCCATACCGCGTCTCCGCTGGCCTTGGATGCAGGGGGCTCGGGGATTTCCAGGGATGTCGTGTCCGTTCGAGCTTGCAGGGGCTTGTGGGGTTTAGGGTTTCTATAAGCTCTAGAAGCAGAAGTCCTGGGTCTACAAAGCCCAAAAGCCACGTGTCCCTGACGTCCCTAAGCCGCACGCCCCTTAGCGGCGATTCGGGCATCTGGTGATGTTGCAGCTTCTCCTTCACTTCCGCTAAAGAGGTAGGCTGCCCAGGCCCGAAGCCAGACACCTTGACTGCACGGGCAGCACGGGCAGGACGGGCAGCTGTAAGAGCGTCCTTTCTCTGACACTGCTGCTGGCAAAGCCGTTGCCGATCCGGGTCGCAGGATGTGCTCAGGATTCTTCTGGATTTCGTGAAGCACTGCTGACGGTGGAGTTCGTGCAGCGCGCTGTCGCGACTCACGGCACGCTGTCCATGGTTGCCACATTGCACTTGTAGCCCGCGCGATGCAGCTGCTCGGGGATCCTGGCCCACTGCAAAATCTACAAACTCCTACAAACTGCGGAACACATCTGAGAATGGCCTTCGAGCTTCTGAAGTATCCCGCATTTCGGGCTGCCCAAGTCTTGCTGGAATATGCAACGATGGTGCCAAATTCCCACAGCCTGGGCAGAAGGACAGCCATCAGCTGGAGGAATTCGGTGTGAGAAGGGCGTCATTGCCCTTGAAAGGGCAACTGGGACAGTCACGTCGAGCAAAGCAGCTGTTGAAGGCCACATGCCCAACTTTTGCCACTCCAATTCTATGTTGGATCGGCCACGTGCCGCGTCGAATGAGGCCCGACACACGTGCCAACTTTGAGCGTGCATGCCACACATTCAGGATGGTTTGAGCAATCTTTGGCATCAGGTGAGTCTCAGAGGCCTGCAAAGGGTTTTGTCTCTCGACACATTCCTTGTGCTGCCTCTTGTAGGCTTCTACCTTCATCTACTTTGCAGAGGCTTCGAAGGACCGCGGAGAGGCGAGCTTCCTGGTAGCCTCATGTAGACTCCAGCCCCAGAACGGCTGTGCGCCTCTTGGCAGAAGCCGCAGCGCACGCTTGAGGGAAGGGCCGGAAGAGCAACACCCCAAGCTGTGATGACATGGTCCAGGGCGCCCCCTTCGCAGGAGGAGCTTCCCTTGTAGTTTGCCAGCTCTTTGGGCTACTTTACAGATGGTGACCACCAGGGACCAGGCCAGGGCTCCTGGCAGAAGGGGAGTTTGGGCCCTTCATGGGATCTGGGATCCTCGAAAAATCCATCTAAGGATTCGGAGGTGTGGGCCCAGCTGGTTTCAGCCGGTCTCCGGCGGGCGCTTCGGCCATGGCCTTGGTTCTGTAGCCTTCAAGGTGGAGGGTGGGCCAGAGGCCCTCATGGGATGCTGAGAGCCTTTGACTGCGAGCTGCTGGGCAGGCTGCACCAGGCTGAGGCTCTCACGTCTCAGGGCAGCTTCTTACCCTGAGTTTTAGCGGAAGCCTCTGGCGCCTCAGAGATTCGACAGGTCGTGAGTTCCGCCGCTCCAGAAGCCGCTCTTGAAAGCTTTATGACCAACAAGTTGAGCTGAGGAGAGTCCCTGGCTGCCACGAAAGGCACCTGCAGTTTCGACACGTGTTGCTTTGGAGCTCCGGTGGCCACTTAGTTGCTCTGGGTTCTGACACGCAGCTCTATAGCTAGACAAGCAACTTTCTGTAAACGGCTGCCATGCTCGTCATCGCCCTGCCATGTTTGGAAGCCGAGCAGCTTGTCAAGCATATAGACATCGTAGATTAACCGGGGTGACAGTTCAGTGTGTCCCAGACACTCGGGACAAGTATGCAACCACCACAAAAGGGGCAGTAGTTGGCAAGGCACCCCTGCACTTGAATCCTTCTTCAGCCTATCTGAGCGAATCTCTGGTGGATGCCGCGATGGCAAACGCAGTGTAGCCTGAGGAGCGAGATCACCAAACCTGCGGAGCTCAAAATATTGAAGGCCCTTGGGCATCGATGTCTGCGGCCCTCGCACAGAAGGGCGAAGGATGGGGCGACAGCTACGCTTTGGTGGCTGAAGAGCTGCACTGCAGTATCTCCCATATGCGGGGATGGCAGATCACTGGACTGGCCGGAGCTGCACCAACTGAACCTTTGCCACGCTTGATCCTCCACAGATTTGAGTGTATTTCAAGTTCAACCACTGGCCCGGCAAGCCCTAAAGGCGCTGAACGCGCGGAGCTGTCACCATCCCGGATCCTCTGCCACTGCACCGGGGCCCCAAGACAGTGCCTCCTGCAAGACCGTGCCTTATGCCACGCGCCCGCTAGGGTGCTGGGACCCCTCGTTTCTGGAAGCTGCACAATCGGTGGAGGGATCTTCGTGATTCAAGTCGAGCTGCCGCAGCGGTGCCGTGGGAGAAGGGAGCAAATGGCGCCTCGTGCTGGAATGTAAGAAAATCCTTAAGTCCAAGCCTACTTGGGCTGCAACCCTAACCCCTAAACCCTAAAGGAAGGCTTTCCTGTGCTCTAAGCGGGGCCAGTGCCTCTCTTCTACGGCTCGGGCCACTGCCCCGGCCTTCCCAGAGCATCGAACGGGCACGCCGCCCAACCAGAGTCGCGCAGGCAAGGCGTAGGGTTTACGGTTCAGGGTTTAGGGTATCGGGTTTAGGGGGCTTCCTCCCCAAGTAGTGTGCGAAAGGACCCGTGCCCGTTTTTTCTTGACGACGCCTTTTATGCAGCAACGGCCACCCCCCACGTTTATGCCTTGCGCGGGAACCCCGGCCCCTACATCCTGTACATCTTCGGCCTGAGCTTGGCAATACCGTTGCCTGGTTTAGGGTTCAGGGTTTAGGGATTCCCAGGTTATGCTCGTCCGGCTCCTCACCGTCAAGGGTGGGGGGGGGCACGAGCAAAGCCAGCTTCTGCTGGTCTGTAGCCTAAAGCTTGCTAAGGCTCACCAAACGAGGCGGGCTCATCAAAAAACCCAAGCGCCCCCGAGCAACTTCAGGGCATCTGGGGTTCAGGGCCTTATAGGCAGTCATATGGCCGGGCCCTGACCCGAAGACGAAGGGAAACGGGGAGTTGTGAGTGGCAATCTGGGAGCAGCCTGCGGTGCTCCCATGCAGTGCAGACTCCACTTTGCCTCCGAGTCCCTCAAGCTCAAACCCCCCTTAAATTCAAGCCGGCTTTGCTCCCGAAGGCTTTTAAGGCACCCATGCGTCAGCGCTTCAGGCAAAAAAAGCGGATCTCCATTCCCGCGGCCTTGTAAGGAGGCAGCGCGGGTGAGCGTTTTGAAATGTTGGGCATCGCGTGCACATCCGGCTACCAACCCTGCAGCCGAGGAACAATCTGCGCAACATGCCTGTTCTTAGCCAGCCCTGGCTCCTCCCAAAGGCAACTCTTCCCCGAGTGAGGCCTCCAAGGGCTGTTGCACGATGATCTGAAAGCCCGGAAGCCCCACTCGACTCGACCCCCCTGTAAGCCCGTAAGCCGCACATGAGCCCAGTCCGGGTCAATCCTATCACCCTCTGTCCCGGGCATGGGCCCATGTGTTCATGTTCCTCCTGTTCCATGGCGACATGCGGAAGACGAAGGCTGTACACGCAGAGGTGGAGAAAGTGCTCAGAAGCAAGGTGGCCACTGACGAAACCAGTTTGCTTGGAGGTCCGGCTCTTCCGGGCTTCGGTGGCACAACCCTGAAATCCAACCTTAGCCGCCGTAGCCGCGTCTCGATTAGGCGAAAGGTCACCTCATTGACTTGTGGGTCAAAGCTTCAGCGTCGGACCCTTCCCGCAAAAGCCGAGTCTGCCCCCGGTAAAATTCTCATCCAAGGCTGGCAGACGCCAGACTCGACGCTGTTTGCATAGGGCCGGTTGTTTCTAGGATGGTTTCTGCCAAGACGCGGAGTCCTGTCAGAGGCGGCGTGGTGAGAATCCAGCTCACTGGCCCTCATCGTGCTCGGCTCCCCCCTATTTCTCTCGAAGTCCTTGTGCCGGCGTGCTGGCACGTGGGAATCGGAGTGCCCACCTCAAGAAGGACGCCGCTCTTCTGGTTTAGCCATGCTTGGCCCTTCAGCCGCACCTGGTGCTCTTTCCCCGACCTCTAAGGCCGGAGCTCTCGGAGGAGTTCCCACTTCTGGCGCCAGCATACGCTGAGGGCGTCGGCTTGAGCCGGAGATCGCGTGAGTCGCCGCTTTCGGGGCGTTTGGGGTTCACAGGGTTTAGGGTTTTGGGGGCCCCTTCTTCCGTGAGTGGGCGCTGCCATGTCAAGAAGGCCTTCCCTCGACCTTCCCATCGTCCACAGTAGTTCACCTGGTGTTAAGAAGTTAAGAAGCATGAACACTCAAAAACTACTAATTAAACCTTCGACAGTCTGAAGCCTTAGAAATAAGACCTTCACTTTTCAAGGCATGTTCCACAAAGCCGCTCTCCCGAGGAAAGTCAACCCAGTGGCCCTGGTAGCTGCCATGGGACTCATGATTTAGGCGCTTGTAAGGGTTGAGCTTTCCGGCAACAAAAAGCGTATTTTGAGCTCTGGCCTGCTCCAAGCCAGCCATCTCTTCATCCTTCATTTTTTGTGCAAGACCTAAGAAGTCCTGAAACCCTGGCCCCAACAAAATGCCGCAAGGATCACATGATCGAGGCTGCGGATACGGCGTGCATAAGCCCCGAGTAGACCTTCCAAAGGCGTGCACATCCGTAGCCGCGTTGCAGCCCTCGCTTGACGGCGCTGCGCGCGGCGCCCAGGCCGTATGAGATGAATTAACAGGGCGCCGCAGTGCAGGGCTCCGAAACAGCAGGGTCAGTGAAACTCTAGAGACACCGAAGTTCGCAGGCAGCAGGCACTACAATGCACTACATGCCTTCTCTTGTCCACTGGGGAGGAGGACGGGGGCAAAGACTCCCGGCAGCCTCCTTGCATGACCACTGTGTGGAGCGCTGGCCGGACGAAAGAGGTGGGGACTGAGCTCTCCCTAAAAAAAGGAACATATATACTATAAATATAAATAAACGTATATTATATATGTATATATATATAGATATATGTATATATATATATATGTATAATCTTGTTATAGTATTATACTAGTGTATTGCGATATTTTATTGTTGTATCAGTATAAAAGGACTCTTTATCCAATATGATTACATCGAACATCCCCACTCCGCAGGCAATGAATTCGCGATTTCCCTCTCAGGTTCCCTCTCAGGTTGGGCACTCCAAAACTAGAACTGCCAAAGGCGTGGTAATGAAGATGCTCTGATGGCAGGAGATATATTTGTCTTCTAACGACATCGTAGCCTTAACGAGGCACCATGTTGAAGCCCGTCAAAGGAAACATCGATGCTCGCTGATCATTTGTTCTTAAAGGTTGTTTTTTTTTTGTTTGGGGGGGGGGGTACAGTAGCATGTATTTTGTGTTATGTTATGTAGACGGTATATGTCAGTAGACAGACTTGCTGGTTCTGAGTGGGAAAAGGGGGGAAAACGGATCCTTATAGCAGCCCGCATCCTCCCTATACCCCTACTAGGGTTCCCGAAGCCCTAAACCTAAACCCTAAACCTAAACCCTAAACCTCCACAATCGTCCATAACAGCAGATATCTGTAGACTCTAAACCCTGATTGCTTCAGACCAGAACAGTAGATTTCAGTAGACCCTAAACCCTGATTGTTTCAGACCCGAACAGTAGAGTTCAGTAGATCGAAGCTGCCACCTTCCACCGGGGAAGTGCCTCGAGCATGGAGGAGCGTCTCACCACGGCCTTGATATCGGGGTTTCGGGCTTAGGGTTTAGGGTTTAGGGGTTAGTCTAAGGGTTTAAAGTGCTTAGGTCGCAGGGTTTATGGTCGGGTTTCCCAAGTAGTAGAGACATTAGAGGCCGACCATTTTTTTTCTATGGCTGCTGCCGGAGTGCTTCACACCGTTCTTCTCCGGAGTGATGGCAACGCCGTGGCTTGGGGGATGGTGAATGCTGGCCAATGCGTGATTCCCCCTTTGGATGAAGGACTCTCCTACACTCAGGTTGCCGCTGGCTGGCTCCACACCGTTCTTCTCCGAAGTGATGGTTGCGCTGTTGCTTGCGGAAGAAGAAGCGATGAACAATGCAGAATTCCTGCGCTGGATGAGGGAATGTCATACACCCAGGTTTCTGCAGGTTATGCTCAGACGGTGCTTCTTCGAAACGACGGCAATGCTGTGCTCTGTGGATCACCTGGGCGTAGCAAGATTTTACCGTTGGATGAGGGGTTTTGGTACACCCAAGTGGATGCCGGCGACGATCATATTGTGCTTCTTCGAAACGACGGCCGTGCTGTTGCACTTAGCAGTCGTAACCACTATGGCGAATGCAACATTCCCCCTTTGGAAGAAGGAATGTCGTACACCCAGGTTGCCGGCGGCAAGAACCACACAGTTCTGCTTCGAAGCGATGGCCAAGCAGTGGCTTGCGGAAGCAATGATGGTGGACAATGCGACATTCCCCCTCTGGAAGAGGGAGTGTCATATACCCAAGTCTCTGCAGGAGATCACACCGTGCTTCTTCGAAGTGATGGGAGAGCAGTAGCTTGCGGACGCAATGAATCCAAGCAGTGCAACATCCCTGCACTGAAGGATGACGGAGTCGTCTACACGCAAGTTTCCGCAGGGGTGACTCACACCGTGCTCGTCCGAAGTGATGGTGTTGCTGTAGCTTGCGGGAAGAACCACTACAAACAATGCAGGATTCCTCCTCCTGAGCCGGGGATCTGGTATGTTCGTGACCATACGGTACGAGGCACAGACAGCTTTGTTTGTCAGTTAGATGTTGGCGGTGTGGATGGCGCAGTGGCGCTGACATGTTTTGGCCTGGCCGGAAACGAAGTCTTACGATGGAAGGCACTTGGGTCTGAGCTGGCCTTGGATACTCAAGCGTACATTGCGCATGAGTTGAGAGTCAAGCTCCAGAGCTTACGAGTTGTCTTGCCTAACGGGAAGCTGTTAGCCTCGGTTTGCCGTGAGAATCCGCTGGTCACAGCTGGCGATCTGAGTGACACCCACAAATCTTAGAGCGCCATGAGCCTTTGACAGCTTTTGCTGCTGCCAACTGGTCCAGCAGCCCCCTTAATGTACATAACTTGACAGGTGCTTGCTTCTGTCTTTGCCATAGCACCACCCTTATTCTTATCTGGACGAGGGAGGGGCTGGTGCCCCTCCCCCTTTTCCACACGCCCATGTTTTGGAAGACCTTGTAAAAAGGTCTCGGGTGTAGGCATCAACGGTGTCGGGTAAGAACAAGGCGGACAAAAAAACCATGCAAAACGTCTACGCAGGCGGGCACCTAACTTGCCTAAGCAGCCCAGAGCCCCTAAATCAGAAACTTTGTGATTCCCAACCCCGAACCCAAAAACCCAGAATCCTAAAGCCGTAGATCCCTGAAGCCCTATAAAGCCTTAAACCCCTGAAGCCGCAGAATCTACAACACCCGAAACCGATAACCAGCTAAATTCATGGGGTCCATGTACCCAAGCATCATGTTGAATCCTCCAAGACTAGAACTGCCAAAGGCATGGTCATGAAGATGCTCTGATGGCAGGAGATAAAATTTGTCTTCTAAGGACGTCGTAGCCTTAACGAGGCACCATGTTGAAGCCCGTCAAAGGAAACATCGATGCTCGCTGATCTTTTTTTCTTAAAGGTTGTTTTTTTGTTTGGGGGGGGGGGGGTAGCATGTATGTTATGTAGACGGTATATGTCAGTAGACAGACTTGCTGGTTCTGAGTGGGGACAGGGGGGGAAAAAGGATCCTTATAGCAGCCCGCATCCTCCCTATATCCCGAGAAGGGTTCCCGAAGCCCTAAACCCTAAACCCTAAACCTCCACAATCGTCCATAACAGCAGATATCTGTAGACTCTAAACCTTGATTGCTGCAGACCAGAACAGTAGATTTCAGTAGACCCTAAACCCTGATTGTTTCAGACCCGAACAGTAGAGTTCAGTAGATCGAAGCTGCCACCTTCCACCGGGGAAGTGCCTCGAGCATGGAGGAGCGTCTCACCACGGCCTTGATATCGGGGTTTCGGGCTTAGGGTTTAGGGGTTAGTGTAAGGGTTTAAAGTGCTTAGGTCGCAGGGTTTATGGTCGGGTTTCCCAAGTAGTAGAGACATTAGAGGCCCGCATTTTGTTTCTATGGCTGCTGCCGGAGTGCTTCACACCGTTCTTCTCCGGAGTGATGGCAACGCCGTGGCTTGGGGGATGGTGAACGCTGGCCAATGCGTGATTCCCCCTTTGGATGAAGGACTCTCCTACACTCAGGTTGCCGCTGGCTGGCTCCACACCGTTCTTCTCCGAAGTGATGGTTGCGCTGTTGCTTGCGGAAGAAATAGCGCTGAACAATGCAGAATTCCTGCGCTGGATGAGGGAATGTCATACACCCAGGTTTCTGCAGGTTATGCTCAGACGGTGCTTCTTCGAAACGACGGCAATGCTGTGCTCTGTGGATCACCTGGGCGTAGCAAGATTTTACCGTTGGATGAGGGGTTTTGGTACACCCAAGTGGATGCCGGCGACGATCATATTGTGCTTCTTCGAAACGACGGCCGTGCTGTTGCACTTAGCAGTCGTAACCACTATGGCGAATGCAACATTCCCCCTTTGGAAGAAGGAATGTCGTACACCCAGGTTGCCGGCGGCAAGAACCACACAGTTCTGCTTCGAAGCGATGGCCAAGCAGTGGCTTGCGGAAGCAATGATGGTGGACAATGCGACATTCCCCCTCTGGAAGAGGGAGTGTCATATACCCAAGTCTCTGCAGGAGATCACACCGTGCTTCTTCGAAGTGATGGGAGAGCAGTAGCTTGCGGACGCAATGAATCCAAGCAGTGCAACATCCCTGCACTGAAGGATGACGGAGTCGTCTACACGCAAGTTTCCGCAGGGGTGACTCACACCGTGCTCGTCCGAAGTGATGGTGTTGCTGTAGCTTGCGGGAAGAACCACTACAAACAATGCAGGATTCCTCCTCCTGAGCCGGGGATCTGGTATGTTCGTGACCATACGGTACGAGGCACAGACAGCTTTGTTTGTCAGTTAGATGTTGGCGGTGTGGATGGCGCAGTGGCGCTGACATGTTTTGGCCTGGCCGGAAACGAAGTCTTACGATGGAAGGCACTTGGGTCTGAGCTGGCCTTGGATACTCAAGCGTACATTGCGCATGAGTTGAGAGTCAAGCTCCAGAGCTTACGAGTTGTCTTGCCTAACGGGAAGCTGTTAGCCTCGGTTTGCCGTGAGAATCCGCTGGTCACAGCTGGCGATCTGAGTGACACCCACAAATCTTAGAGCGCCATGAGCCTTTGACAGCTTTTGCTGCTGCCAACTGGTCCAGCAGCCCCCTTAATGTACATAACTTGACAGGTGCTTGCTTCTGTCTTTGCCATAGCACGACCCTTATTCTTATCTGGACGAGGGAGGGCCGTGCCCCTCCCCCTTTTCCACACGTCCATGTTTTAGACCTCATAAAGGGGTCTCGGGTCCAGGCGTCAACAGCCTCGGGTAAAACGCGGACAAAAAAGCCATGCAAAACGTCTACGCAGGCTGTCGGGCGCCTAACTAAACCCAAAACCCCTAAACTCCAGAAAGCCTTGCAGACCTGTCCCCTTTTGTGCCTCCTCTTCAAGCATCATCACCACGTAGGCCCTCTAAACCGAGGTAGTACAACCTGCCACTACAGTGGCACTTGCACCGGCACCCTTAAACCCTATGCGCTAACCTCGTGATTCCCAACACCGAACCCAAAAACCCTGAAACCTCTGGCCGTAGATCCCTGAAGCCCTGAAGCCTTAAACCCCTGAAGCCGTAAATCTAAAACACCCGAAACAACCAGCCAATTCATGGCAATAAGCCGCTGCGATGGAATCCATAACGCCCCGCGCGGCACGGGCGCCACGATGGGTGCGGCCGTCTCTGGGCGTCTTCCGCACCTGGGACATGGCGCCCCCACCACAAACCCTCAACCCTGTGAAGAAAAAGCCCGGAACCTTTATTGGGAAGTGTCTTCAGTTTTGTGGGGCTGGATTGTATGTTTACAGTAGGCCAGAAATGGCCCGATGCCTGAGAGGAGGGGAGATGAGGGGCCTCGGTATAGGCCATAAAGCTCCGGATTCAGGGTCTACGCTTTCGGGTTTAGGTTTCAGTTTTGCATGCCTATTGTGGTACATCGTCATCAGCTGGCTGCCGACTCGAAAGGAAGGGCTCATGTCGATATCGTTGAGGGCATTGGGAAAGGGTGGTGTATATTCGTGTTTGAGTTTTGTTCTGAAGGTCTGTGGCAGACTTCGATGATCAGCTTTTATCCATCGTAGCAGGATCACCCTAAGCCCTAAACCGTAGAAGTCGATTTCTGCGTCTGAGATCGCTTTCCTTTACGGATAGGCTGCCTCGCAACCCACTCAACCCTAATCCTCATACCTGGGCCCAAGACCCTTTTCCCTATGATCCCTGTTTTCGGTTTAGGGTTTAGGGTTTAGGGTTTAGGGTTTAAGGTCCTTAAACCCTAAACAGGCCTAAGCCCCTAACCCTTCAGGCCGTGCGGCAGATTTCTGACCCCAGCCCAGGTCCGACCGGGCCCTCTTTGCCCAATGCGTTCCCGGAGCGGTCGCGCCAAAGGACAGTGAGGGTTTGGGGGTGTTGGGTTTGGGGTGTAGGGTGTTGGTTTAAAAGGGTTAGAGGTTAGAGTTCAGGGTTGGGGGTGAGCTAGGGCTCGGGGTTTGGAGATCCGTATGGCTGGCTTTGGAACCTCGCTTCTTTGAGGGTTGAGTTATTGGATGTATTGATTTGAGCATCTGTCAAAAACTCGCGGCTCTGGTGAGTTACGTAGAGCGGGACGCAAGTACCAAAACCCTGCAAAGCGACGGGGCCACCTGAAAAACGGCAAGCCCAGGAACAGGTAAGTCTGAACCCTCATCCGCAGAAGGCTTTCTGATCAGATTTCAGAGCAACACCCAGCGCGACGCACAAGAGACGGCAGTTTTGGAGCACAAAATGCCTCGGGATAGCCCTGGCCCGTCCCCAAACCTAGGCATTGCACGGTCTGCGCGGATGCTTCGAAGACCCCATCACTACTGTGGGAAGGGTTGGCAGCATTCATCTCGCAACATATCGAACAAGCAGAGCGACCCGCCCCCAAGCTCTTCTGGTAACATGCATGGCAACAGAGCCCTTGTAAAGCGGCGGGCCGCCTGAAAAGCAACACACCGTGACACGGGTCCATTGCCCCTTGAGTAGAGTTTAGACCGGCGGCTCATTTGAAGAGCAAACCCGCGCATTCCCTAACCTCACGGAGGCCATCAACGACGAACGCCACGTCCTCGTAGACAAACCCTCTGCCGGTCCAACTGAACTGTACGTGACCCTGAACCTATACATAAAGCCAAGAGCCATTACCTGTAAGGATACTGTAGGTAGGCCGGGTGACATGCGGGGGTTCCGAACATGGGGTTAAGGGTTCAGGGGTAATCGCTTCCTGGGGGGTTACTTTAAGACCGGTTACCATGTTTTGGGGTATTAAAGGAACCTGTTTTGGAGAAATACCCATAGTGCCTCCTTCCAGGAGGCTCCTTCTCATGGGCGCAGTGGCGACGCTGCCCGTCGCAGGTGAGGATTCGGAGTCGAGTTCTCGCTGCTGAACCCTAAAACACACAAGGCCACTACTGGGCGAAAGCCCCTGCACACTTCTTCCCCGCGGCGGCGGGTAGTCCGATTCCCCCCCCCCCCTTACTCCAGACGCTACAAGGCTAATAAGCCAGGTCGAGACTTTTCCATGGGTTTCAGGAGTTACAGACAGGATCTTAGCGTGTAGTGTGAGATGTCCGAAGCAGTGGTAGATTCACGGATGGCCCGAAAATTCTGTCCTGGGACGAAGCGGTTTCGAACCCAAAAGCGTTCCCGATGTATCCGGGTCGATCTAAAGTCTGGGCCATGCGCAGAAGATTCTCAGGGGCTTGCGGTGCCATAACGGGCGCATTGAGGACCATCTTCAAGGAAATCCGACTCCCTTGCTCCGCCTCTACGTCCCACCAATTCCCGCTGCTCCCCGCACCCACTGCTGTCACAGCCACCCCCCCCTCCTCGCCCTCAGCCCCAACACCTCAACACCCCCACACGCTGAAACACCCTGAGCCCTCAACTTAAACCCTAAACCTGAAACCCTAAACAACCCGGCCCTAACCCGAAACCCTAAACCCTAAACCCTAAACCCTAAACCCTAAACCCTAAACCCTAAACCCTAAACCCTAAACCCTAAACCCTAAACCCTAAACCCTAAACCCTAAACCCTAAACCCTAAACCCTAAACCCTAAACCCTAAACCCTAAAACCCTACAGAAAGGAACGCTGTGGGGGCCCCACGTTTCCACATACTGGGTGTTAAGGGTTTTCTCATGTTGTTATGCTGTTTTTCTTTTTCAGAAAGAGACACACCACGTTTTCTTATGATGAAGTCGTCGTAGTAATGTCAGTCGTAGAAGCATGAGACGAAGCTTCCCAATCTTTTGGGGGTGTGAAGGATTTTCTCCCGGGAGGGAGGGGGGGAGGGCCGGCTAGCCCCCAACCCAAAACCCGGAACCCTAAACTACTATCAAGATCCATAGGTGCCGGCGCGAACTCCAAGACGCTTGCCCAGGCAGACTCTTTGTGTACGTTTTTGTACAAACATTTAGGGTTTTAGGGCTTAAGGCTTAGGGTTTATAGGGTTTAGCGTTTAGGGTTTTGGGGGTTAGGGTTCAGGGTTTTGGGGCTTTTGGGGTTTGGAGTTTTTGGGCTCAGGGTTTTCAGGTTCTTTTGGGTTTGGGGTCGCGGGTTTGGGTTTTGGGTTCGGGCTCGCAGGTGGGTTTGTAGGTTCTGTTGGGTTTTTCTGGGTTTCAGTTGAGGTTTAGGCTCAGGTTGTGAAGGTCGTTCAGGCAGTTTGCTGCAGCATGAACCTGGGACCTAAAACCCTAAACCCTAAGCCCTAAACCCTAAACCCTAAACCCTAAACCCTAAACCCTAAACCTTCGGAGGAGCTGGGTGGGAGAAGCCAACGCAGTCGCACAGAGGTGGCGCTTGCCATGCTGCGGCTGCTTCGAGGCTGGGCCTTGTTCAGAGACCAGGGCTTGGACTCAGGGTCTGCTTAGGGTTTAGGGTTTAGGGTCTAGGGTTTAGGGTTTAGGGTTACCTGGCTTAAGAGGCGTGAGGTCTCAACATGTCCGAAGTCAGCAGCCTCCTCCCAAACCAAGACGTCTGCGGCCTGGGAGGTATCGACTACCTGTGGCTGAGCCTCGGGATCCTTGGCCGGGTCCCGAGACTTCTGTCCTAAACCCTAGACCCTAAACCCTAAGCCCTAAACCCTAAACCCTAACCCTAAACCCTAAACCCTAAACCCTAAACCCTAAACCCTAAACCCTAAACCCCCGTAGCCCTCGACCTTCAAGGCCTGTTAGTGGGGAGAGCGTCTCGGGTTTAGGGCTTGGGGTGAGAAAGCTGTGTAGGGTATGTAGGGCACCTATTTCCGGAATTGCCTTCTCAGGATTGTGGCGTATGCTGCTTCAAGCTTTTACGCCCCAACACCCCCGAAACCAAGTCAGCCCCTAAACCCTAAACCCTAACTTAGGATGGGGGTGCAGTACTCCTTTTTGAGTTCGAGATCCGGCCCTATACCTCAACATTCAACTTGAGTTGCTGGGGCTTCGAGCTCTTCGTCATGTAAGCTCAGCCTTCTACAGCTCAACCCGCCCCGCCTCCCCTTCGCCCCTAACCCCCTCCCGCAATCAACACCCTTCCTCTCCCCCACAAAATACATAGGACATAGAAACCAGCAGAAGTCTGATGATTCAGGATGCAGTATGTTCGGAGTTTTTTTAGCAAACCACTTTTTGCGGTGACGGAATTAAAAACCCTGTCTAGGAAGAGCAGGCCCTTATTCGCCTTTTTTTGCCCCTTCTAAACAAACCCTTCACCCTAAACCCTAAACCCTAAACCCTAAACCCTTCACCCTAAACCCTCCCACTTTACTCTTGGGTCTAGCTGTCACTATACTTAAAGATGGCCATTGCCCCGCCGCTGTCAGGTCTCCTTTTCACTTCCTTGGCCGAGGCGATGCTTAGGGTTTCTGGATTTTCGGGTTTAGGATTCAGGGTTTAGGGTTTAGGGTTAAGGGTTTAGGGCGTCGCAGAGAGGAGGACATACAAGGACCCACTCAGGATTGGGATGTCCCCCCTTATACCAACAGTCCTCAGTAGGGGTTTGGAGTACCCCCTAGTATAGTCCCTACTAAGGACTGTTAGTATAAGGGGGCACGTCCCAACATCCGGATGTCAAGCAAGACTTTTACCTTCCTACAGTAAGTGCATGTAGAGCGCGCTGTAGTTGTGGAGCAAAACATATAAGGATGCCCGGTGCGTATGCGACACGTATCACTCCTTCTGTCTCAGTTCAGTCCAGGTCGCCTCGCCTCCTCTGGTGTCCGCAGCACTCTTCGCAGCCGTCCAGGTGCCGACCCTATCCCCAAAAACCTCCCGGAGGCCCTAGTTTGGGCTTATAGGGTTTAGGGTGCAGGTTTTGGGGTTTAGGGCTTAGGGCTTAGGGCTTAGGGTTTAGGGTTTCGGGTGTATGATTGGAAGTGAGGACTCTCAGGGGTAGATTGCAGTGTGCCTTTTCATGTTGGAGTGTTGGGATCTTACCCTGACCTACTACATAGGCTACTAGGGCCCCGAAGAACCCAATGTTCAGGTATCTGGGAATGTCGGGTCATTAAGCCCGCCTTGATTCCATTTGTTTTAGGGGGTTCAGGTTTCCGTATAAGTCCCACAAAAACCGAAAAGGGCGCCCGTTTTCGTTCTAGGTCACCCGTGGGTCTAGTTTTCAGCCAACTACACCCTAAACCCTAAACCCTAAACCCTATAAACCCTAAACCCTAAACCCTCCTCCCAGGGACTCGGGCGGGCTCTCCTCTGCCAGCGCGCCACCGCCGTCGCAGCCGCTGCGCTAGTGGGTGGATGTGCTGAGTGCTTGAAGAACTTTGCTTTCAACATGCCCCCTGGACAAATTTAGGGTTTAGGGTTATAAGGAAAATTTAGGGTTTGGCGTTTAGGGATAAGGGTTAAGGGAAATTTAGGGTTTAGGGTTCCCTGGTACAAATCAGGGGGGGGGGGGGCTTGGGGTCTCAGAAGCCCTTTTGATTTGTTTGTTGGGGCTTTGGGGGGCTTGTGGGCCTTGGGGTCTTAGGCGTACGGGTCTATAGGGGTTTGGCGAAGATTTATGAACTTTGGGTCTGTAGGGCATTGTGGGGTTAACGCTCTTCGGTTCAATGGGTTAAGGGTTTAGGGTTTAGTAGCATATGAGCAAGCGCCAAAACCCCCAGCCATTCAAGTAAGTTAGGGGTGGACACGAATGCCCAAAACCATGTAAAGCGATGGGAACACTTGAACAGCGACACCCCTAAGTTAATGAGCCGTTGGGTGTGCTGTCAGAATCACGTGGCCCTGATATTATCAGGGCCACGTGATTCTGACACTCAGAAGCACCATGGTTTGAAGAGCTGCACCGATGGCCTAAAACCCTAAACCCGAAACCCTAAACCCTAAACCCTTAAACCCCCAAGGTTACGCAGTCGGCTTGTGGCGCGACTGCGCGCGGACACCTTCGACGCCCTGCTGGGTCAGGATCCGCTGAAAGCCTTTCAACTAAGGCTGCGGCTGCTTGAAGCCTGAAGCCCTCAGTGCTATTATTTGCTTAAGAAACCCCCCAACAAAAGTATAAAGTTATAATCCCCATATTTCCCTTATAAGGAAGAATATGTTGTATTTTTCTTAAGCAAGTAGTAGAATGCTAACCCCAGACCCCCGAACCCACTGAGTCACTGGCCGCCAAGCCTCAACTCGCAGACCTTGCGGGTTGAGGGCACAGGCTTTATTCTTGGTAAGCTTTGGGGTTTGGGGTTGAACCCATACCCTTGGGCTCTGCAGCAAATACCCTTCTAAGTTCACTTTCTGTTGGGCGTTCTTGATTCTGAATCCGATGAAACAGGACAAGTTTAGGATTGTTTAGGGCTGAGATGTTGGGTTGGGATCTTCCCCCTCATACTAACAGTCCTTAATAGGGATTATAGTACCCCTTATTTTATTCCCGATTAAGGGCTGCTAGGCCCCCCGGGGAACATTCCAAGTTTTGTGCTTCATTACGCAAGACAAGTTCGAGGTTTCAGCTTGTCAATCGGAAGGGTCCATGAGAGGTAGGCTCTCTACTCTTCCTTTCCGTGAGTGTATCTAGGTTTCCTTATAAGAAATACGTATAGAAATATTGGTGAGGGCATTTAGACGATGAGCTGTCGTTTGTGGTAGCCTTGTAATGAAACCGGCTTCTACAGGCGTAAAGAGTGTGGATTTGGGCTGCGTGGTCCAAGTAGAAAATATTTCGGTATGACGAATTCTCAGAATTTGCGGATGCATTCTCTGGTGTTCCCTTAACAGCACGGTCCCCCAAACCCCATGTAGCCACATACCCAGTTCCCTAAGTACAAGAGCGTTCGCACTCCTAGCGGAAGTTTCACATCAAGCTCTTGCAGAAGGAGCTGAGTTTCTACGACGAGGTGGATGCGGGGGAGCTCACGTCACGTCTGCCGCTGGGCGTCCATATGTGAATCTCAAGGTGTCCATCAGATTGAAGCAGCATCCCCATGCACCGGAAAGTGGAGTCCCAAGAAGGTACCATCACCATATAGCCGATCTAGCCCTATTAAACCTAGCCCCTTCTCACCCAGAAGCCTTCTAAGTCCGGAATTCAGCTGAAGACAGCCAGCCCCAAGCCACACTCGGCGATACAAGGAGCTCCGACTGTATGTCTGTCTACTCCTACCTGCGGCTCCCTCAGACTTTGGGTCGAGTGGGTTAAATGGCGGGGGGAAGGTTGGGGTTAACAAGGTGAGGTTTAGGGTTTAGGGTTTAGGGTTTAGGGTTTAGGGTTTAGGGTTTAGGGTTTAGGGTTTAGGGTTTAGGGTTTGGGGTTCCGAGGGCTCCGGAGTGGGTTTACACTCTGTCGGGTTTTCGGCTTCGAGCTATGGCTTGGTAGCCCAGTGGTACCCTTTTCCCTTTTTTTGGGGTTCAAGGTTCCCTTATGGGGTATCCGACTCCGGGGTGCCCTTATTTTGATGTGGTTACTGGGCTACTAAGATGGGGTCCGTGTATTTAAGGTTTTTGGAGCTTTGGGGGTTTCGGCTGTCGGGCTCAAGTTTTTGGGTTTGCAGGGCTTCGCCTTAGGCTTTGGACTTCTAGGTTTGTAAGGTGTTATCTTAGTGGGAGTTTAGGGCCTACAGGGGAGCAGGGTTTTGAGCTTCTTTTTTTGGGCGGGGTTTCGGGTTTAAGGTTTGCAGGTTTTACGTTCCCTCCAAGTCTTTTCTGCACTTGGGCAGGGTCGGCCTGTGTAGAAGTTGTCAAGGAAGCCCAGTGCCTTAAAGTCCATGTCCGACACCATGAACCTTCGAACGCCCTAAAGCCTGAGCCCTAAACCCTAAGCCCTAAACCCTATTATAAACCCTAAACCCGAAACCCTAAACCCTAAACCCTAAACCCCAAACAGTCCCAGGAGCGACGTGCTGAGTTTCTTCCTCCGCTCCGGGGCTGTCACCATAGCAAGGCAGATAGAGGATGCTACCAGTAGGGATTTTACCCGTACCTCCACCTGCCTACTGATTAGCAGAGTAGTAGAGTCCCACGTGTTGGGTGTAATTGTAGCCCGAAACCCTAAAACCTAAAGCCTATGAGCCCTAAACCCTAAACCCTGAGCCCTGAACCCGGAAGAGACCTATGATCGTGGATTCTTAGACCCAAGGTGGCAGCGTTCGGGTTTGGTGTTGGCGGTTCAGTGTAGGGCGCACCCCAAACCCTACATGGGGTTGAGGGTTTGGGGTTCAGGGTTTTAGGCCCCAACCCTGAGGTACAGAGCAGGACAGAGCTCAAGGGGGTAGAGGGTTCTGGGTCTCCACACCCGCCACATACAAGTACTAAGCCGTCTGCAAAACCTATATGCCTCTAGGCCCTCAATCCTGGGTACATTATGTAGAGAGAGAGGGCGCGGGAGAGCCTAAACCCTAAACCCGACACCCTAAACCGTAAACCCTAAGCCTTGTGGATAAGCTCTGACCAGCCTTCTGGCACTCCTCCGCCTGGACTTGGCGACGACGGCGCGGCTTGCTGCACTGCTGGTGCTCCTGTGGGTCTGTACCTCCGGCTCGGTTTAGGGTTCAGGGCCTTCAGGGTTTAGGGCTAGGGTTAGGGTTTAGGGTTTAGGGTTTAGGGTCTAGGGTTTAGGGTTCAGGGTTCAGGGTTCAGGGTTCAGGGTTTAGGGTTTAGGGTTTATGGTTTAGGGGTTAGGGTTTAGGGTTTAGGGTTTACGGTTTAGGGTTCAGGCCGAGAAACCTTGACCAGGATGGATGGCATCAGTGGGTCCCCAGTTTTAGTTCGAGTTCCGTCCAGTGGACTCAAGAACCTGCAACCCCACTCCGAAGAGATCGTATCAGCTCGGGAGCAGGGTTGTGATTGTGCTCACGTTCTCGGCCCTTGCGAGGTTGGGCATCCCAGCCATACATAGACCGGAACATACTGCTTCCCACACATCCACCCTCGTATTGATCACTCATCGTGGCCGGCCGTACGCCGTAAGACGGATGTTCTTGGGTGGATTTACACCCCCCCCCCCCCCCAAGCTCTAGACCGTTAAGCCCGACATGGTGGCTCCAAGACCATGAAGCAAGCTCTCGCCTGAGATCTCGGCTACTCTTGCAAGTCGCGGCAGAAACTGCCGGTCATTTCGGTTCATTCACCCTCGTCACTTCGGGGGCCTTGGCCCATCGGAAGCTCACGGCTTGGGGCCTTGTAAGGGTACACAAAGGTCTGAGGCGAAGATGGACATCCGGCTCCAGTGAGTGCTCGATCTTCCACTGTGTATATGGGTGAGTCGAGGGAACTCAGAACCCTACTTCAACCCAAACCTTGCCCCTTCGTCCGAGTACCCTGAACCTCCCTCAACGGTGCCAGGTTCCGAGTGGTACGGCCGGGTGACGAGATCTACCGGGCGCAAAACGCAGGTGCCGGGAGAGAGTCGCCTCCACACACTTGCCGTTTTCAGGGCCCTTGCTGCCGAAATTGTTTCTAACCATGTCTGCCTGAGACACCAAACAGTGCAAGACCAAGAGCATTCCTTTAAGAGCATCCCATATGGTCCGTTCTCCAAATTATGGTCCCTTTTTTAGGTACCCTATAAATAGAAATTGTAAGAACCCCAACAGGGACGGTGTTTTCGAGGAGCGACCATATAAAAGCAGACATAGACTCCCCAGGAGACTCCATGAGCCCCAGGCCAGTCCGAGACCGCCCTTAGGGTTTAGGGTTTAGGGTTTAGGGTTTAGGGTTTAGGGTTTAGGGTTTAGGGTTTAGGGTTTAGGGGAAGAGCACCCAAAAGGCCCAAAAGCAAAGACGGTTTCGCACTTCCTGGGGCCAAGAGACAGGACATTGTGTGCAAGGCAGGGTTTGGCGGGCACGGAGCGGTTCCGGCCATAAGAAATGCACGGGACTCTAAGCCCTAAACCCTAGAAACCCTATAACCCTAAACCCTTAAACCCTAAGCCCTGAACCCTAAACCCTAAGAGACCCAAGAGTGCGATTTGGAGCAGGGAAGGCGCGCGGAACTTACGCGCGAGCACAAGGGCCCTCTTTCGACGTCTCGCGCACGCGGGCCGCGGGAGTTTCCACGTCGAAACCCCATAGCGCAAGCACGATTTCGGAGAAGACAGCATTCTCTTCCTGAGAGATTGGCTTTCCAGGCTGTTTAGGCAAAGCCCGAAACCCTATCATATAGGGGCCGGAACAAGTACTTAACAGCATTCGCTTGGGCCCCTATAGTAAGCCCTTAAGAGTAATAATAAGAGTAATAATAAGAGTAATAATAAGAGTAATAATAAGAGTAATAATAAGAGAAATAATAAGAATAATAATAAGAGTAATAATATAAGCCCCCGAAGATGCTCCAGCGCAGGACGGCTTAGCAGAGTTGGGCCGCGTTGCGAACGAGGCAGGGCAGCTGCTCGTGATCTTTTGATCACTTCGACGACATTTTGCGGCTCTGAGCTGTGAAGCTGGTTTCAGGGTCTAGGTGTGAGGGTGGGTTTAGGGTATAGGGTATAGGGTATAGGGTTTAGGGTCTTGTGTGCTGTGGTGTTTGAAACGGGTGATGATTTGCACAAAGCAGCTTGAGGCTTCTCACATGGAGGATGCAGCGACACGGGTGGGGGAGGAGTTCAATTCCGGCTGCTTGGGGGTTGGGCCTGTGGGTTCGGCTGCCGGGTTTCCAAGCTAGGGTTTAGGGCTTAGGCTGTCCGATTTAGGGTTTAGGGTCAGAAGTGACTTCGGAATCCTCCCCTGCACCCCTAAACACAGCCGGAACACCCCAAGCCAAGTTTCAGGGTTGCGGGCTTTGAAGGGTTATGTTTTTTTTAATATGATAAATGGGATCAAGCCCTAACCCCCAGACCCTCAACCCCCAGCCCCAAGCTTAAAACCCTAAACCCTAGACCCTAAACCCTGACCCTAAACCCTAAACCCTAAACCCTAAACCCTAAACCCTAAACCCTAAACCCTAAACCCTAAACCCTAAACCCTAAACCCTAAACCCTAAACCCTAAACCCTAAACCCTAAACCCTAAACCCTAAACCCTAAACCCTAGGGAGCCCCGCTCTCCTGCCATTGAGATGCCCTCCTCCCAGGCCTTGTCGCTCCTGCGCACCGTGCGAGCTCTTGGAGCTGAGGCGAAAGGGCATTCTGGGCTTTGGGGTGTAGGGTTTAGGGTTTAGGGTTTAGGGTTTAGGGTTTAGGGTTTAGGGTTTAGGGTTTAGGGTTTAGGGTTTAGGGTTTAGGGTTTAGGGTTGACGGTTTAGGGTTACCTTGTTAACAGTGTAGAGTTTGATGGTTCGGGGCATAGGGTGGGTTGAACTCATGGGATATTTTGGCTTCTGGCAGCTTCTCCGTGAGTGGGTTTCAAGATCACTGGCTGCCAGCGGCTTGAGCTCTCCCGAAACATCTCTTGCCGAGGGTTTTTGTAGCCACGGAGTTGTTTCGGTTTTGCATATGGGTTGACCCTTTTTTCGCCTGTTGTCGAGTATAAGGCTTACCTACCTTTTTCGCAACAACGAAGCAGGTGTTTGTTCAAGGTTACTGTTGAACCTCGTGCAGTTTCCTGTTATTTGCCATTTACAGGGCCCCTGGCAATCGAAGGCCCACATCCTCACATCTCTCTGACATTTGGCCGTCCTCATGAGGGTTTGTAGGCTCGGATGCCGCTGAAGGTAGATGCGCGAAGTGACTTTGGGATCTATGCCTATTTTTGGAAGGGCCCGACTTCCCTGTTTTCAGAGGCCTGTGTTCTGCAAGTCCTCGAAAAGGACGATGCCAACCGCAGGGGAGAGAAAGTGATTCGTCAATAGCAGCTCATCACGAAAGATGTGCCTCAAATTCAGCTGAGCCTCCGCGCTGAAGAAGGACAGGCCTAGACGTTGGGAGATGCTCTCCCTAACTGCCTTTGCGGGTGGAAGGTTGCTACAGGACTTCAGGGGGTTCCTTACGCCCGCCCATAAATTCGAGTCATGAAGTCATGAACCAGATATACTTTAGCCCCCTGGTTTGCAGAAGTTGCCAAGGCCTTGCACTGCAGACTCTTCCGGAAGCGGAATGTCCAGAGCTTAGTCCTTTCGTATTTGGGTTCTCTCGGGGTAGAGGGGAGCTAAGCTCGCTGAGGTCACTTTTCGTTCACACTTCTTGACTCGTCGAGAGGAATTGAGCATGTTTAGGCGGTGTTGGTTTAGGCTGTGGTGCAAGACTGGGGGCTTTGTCGTTCCCAGCTCAGTATGATTTAGGGTCTGTGGTGTGAGGTGGGTTTTAGGAGCATGCTAAAGAATGGAAGCAAAAGCGCGGGGGTCGGGCATTAGAGATGGAGGCACGGCTACCTATCAATCTTTTTTCTCAAAGAGTTTTAGCTTCTTCAAACTCTTTTGACCACGAATGCGCTTGCTCGGTTTCTTAACAACCTCATCCGCATCACTCAGGGTCCAGGGTTTACAGGGTTTAGGCTTTAGGGTGCAGGGTTTAGGGTTTAGGGTTTAGGGTTTAGGGCTTATAGGGTTTAGGGCTTATAGGGTTTAGGGCGACGGTGCCCGGCACTGAGGCCGTGATTGATGCGGCGCAGCGTGAACGAGGTCCTCTCGGCTCACGTAATTTCTTGAACCCTAAACTAAAACTGGGGTCGTATACCCTATTCTAACTACTGTATCATCCCTATTCAGGTATTTGAAAACCATAACCCCTTCCATGGTTCATTTCGTCCTGAAGGATGGGAATCCTTTAGCAGCATTGCGAATCCTGCTCAGCTTCTCCAAGCCTTGTGATGCATGCCTTTCTGGATGCTTTCCCCACTCGCTCTAACAAAGGACCAAATCTTGTTCAAGAAACATAACTTGTTGAGAGCCTCCCATCGAATTGCAATGTGAGACCTGTACCCCCGAAGAAACCTGCAAAAATCTCATTCACCCTGGTCCCAGAAACCCTACAAGCCCTAGAAGAAACCCTTGGCCCTACGACCCTAAACGCCCTCTCGAAGCCAAGCCCTATGAACCCCAAATCCCCGTGTCCCTACACCCTACACCCTACACCCTACACCCTAAACCCTAAACCCTAAACCTTAAACCCTAAACCCTAAACCCCCAACCACAACCCTTTCTTTTCCTTCGCCTCAGCTCTGTCGAGGCCTGGCGCTAGGCCTTTTCTCCGCGGCGGCGAACGGCACGCCGCCACTACTGTCCGCCCTGCCCGATGTCCAAGCATTCCCTAAACCCTAAACCCTAAACCCTAAACCCTAAACCCTAAACCCTAAGCCTAAGCCCTAAACCCCAAACGCAGGGTTTGGAGGCTGTATTTATTCTAGGGGTCGGAATACTTGCCAATGATATTCCCTTGTGGTCCCTCTATAATTATGCTAAGTGGCCCCCCAAGACCCTATTCCAATTATTGAGGCCCCGCGACAGAAAAGGGGTTTAGGGTTTGGCCATTGTGGAAGTGTTGGCTTCTGCGTGGGTGCTGTCTCTGGGACGTGCAACATCAAGGAATCAGCTTGAGCAATCAAGCAACGTTGTTCTTCAGTTCCTGGGGAAAGGAAGGGTTTGAGATTTATGGCATGTTGAGTGAACGTACGATTCGAGATTTATCGCATGTTGAGTGAACCCTTAGCAACCTCCAGTCTCTGCGGGCAAGGATTCTTGGGGGTTTAGGGCCATGATCCTTCGCCCGAATTCTGGGCAATTCGCACCTCCCCCGCTCCCGAACAAAACCCTGCATCCCCAAGCTAAACCCTACTAGTTGGAGCCTGGGGTGTCACACATGGAAATATACATTTGTATACAACATGTAAAAATGTATGGACACTCCCCCCGGCCCCTCCCCAGACCCCCCCCCCCGGCCCAAAACTGTTTGGTTAATGTTTCTCTGCCATCCCCGATTGAGTCAAAGAGGGTCCCAAGTTCGGCATCTGTGGTTCAGAAACCTCTCAGGGCCCTACCCGCCTAGAACCGAGGGCTTTGTTTTTCGGCGGCCACATGGTGCTGACTGGGCAGATGACTGGGGAGGCCCAGCTGAGGGTTGAGGGCATGAGAGTGGTGATTTAGATCTTAGGGTTTGGCGTTTAGGGTTTAGGGTTACAGGATGAGAGGGTTGAAAGGGTTCGGGCTAGGGCGGCTGCTCAATCGGTGTAGGGCGCAGGGCGCAAGAAAGGAAGCCCTGTAGAAGCCACCGAAACACCCCCCACATCAGCCCACATGACCTTGACACGCAGACCCACAGGGTACCCTCTTTTACAAGGCTATTTTATATAGGGGCTTCAGAGTCCAAGGGGCTCTACTCTATGGTTGTGCCTTGCAATTGGGTTCTTTGGGGAGCTTTTGAAGCAGCCCGCAGGGAATGTAGGGAGCATGTTAGGGGAACCCTTTCGGGGAATGATCTTAGGGATACGAGTTTGGCATTCAGCGGCTGCGGCCCGAGTACACCCGAGTGCGGCCGAGAACGGCTTTTCTGCCTGTGGCCGAAGAAGTTACTTGACGGGTTTAGGGTTTTAGGGTCTAGGGGTCTTACCTCGAGGCGTATTCCCAACCGCTCTCGTACCCTATGAGTGTTCCAAGTACATTTCTGCCGGCTCGGACTCCACTTTTCGAGCTTGGTGTGTCCCAGAACGGCAAGAGGCCTGTTTCTACGATTAAAAATGCAGTAAATATGTTAACAGTGAATTGCCAGGCGAGGAGGCAGAACTGGCCGACAGCGTCAGACCAATTCCTCTGCCAACAGCGTCTGCGTCTAAGATCATTTCATTGCATCGCAAACATTACTTTTTTTGTGTATTTGGTAAGGCGCCGGCTCACGTAGACGTGTCCTGGCTTCCTAAAGCGGAAGAACTATGGACTATGTTCCGCGTGACGCTACTGGCATTGTTGCAAGCCTGGCATGGTCGACTAGCCACTTGGGCTAAGCTGCTTGACAGCATTGCTAAACTTTGTACTATCTGAAGTGATGATACTTATATTTTTGTTAAATCTAAGGACCGTGCAGTGTCACAAGACCACGACGGAGCAACAAGAATTCCTCTTGAGCATGATTCAGGTGCACTTTCCAAAACGTTACACTAATCGTTGAGATTACATGTAATGAACCAGGAGAAGTGGAACGACGCTGTCTCCGACTTCTCTTGGCTCTCCCAGCGCCACCCTAAACAAAAATGCCTCTTGGATCCAATCGGATGATTTTCATCCGGCCTGACCCAGGAAGTAATGAGGCGAAGAGGACCTCCTAAGGAGTATTCAAGCCGCACGAGCTTACCCTCTTTAAGGGATCGACACGGACCACAGTGCCACTCAGACGTTCGTATGGCTCGACGGAATCGAGATTCCTCTCTGGCGGTGCGTCAAGTCCCGAAAACAAAAAAGGCATAGTAAACTTCAACATCTACAGCTCACCTTGCAGTCGCGCGATAGCCACACCGATATGGCGATGCAAAGTGGTTTCCGTGTTCGGAAGTGAAGCCAGCGCCTGCAAACAGAACATGACTTAAAATTTAAGCAATCAATATTAACAGCATGGCCTCGTCGAAGAGTTCAGGCGTGATCTTAGATAACTGTCGCCCGAACCAATCCTTTGGCAATGACAATTCCGGCTTGACGGCCTGGGCCCCCACAGCTAAGTATCTTAGCGAATGTTAAATATACTTAGTATGGTTTCTTTTTCGCAGTTTTCCGTGCGTTGAATAGTGCGCCCTGCAGTCTGTGCCACAGCGTGAGAGAACAGCTGACAGAGCCTTGGGTCACACCCGGTCACACCCGGTCATACCCGGTCATAGCGTCCCGTGCAGTCGCTGTTTCCCATCACAGTGGAGGTTGGAACCCTATTGAGGGCTTCAGCATCACACCCGTGACAAGATCGCAGGCGTTGGCAACATACCTGCTTTACCTGGACACTGCGGCAGACGGCCGGGATCCGAGACCTATCCCTTACTTCTATTGGCAAGAACATGAGACATCGTGAAACGAGGCAGAAAGCAGGAAGAAGCCCTAAACCCTAAACCCTACATCCTAAACCCTAAACCCTAAACCCTAAACCCAAGTAGAGCATCTTTGATCAGAACCTTTATTCGACCTAGGGTGGGTCACGAATGCTGCGAGAGGGTCTCAAAGCCTTGCGGTTCACGGTGAAGGCTTCGTTAGAGAATGGGTACGGGTAGGGATGTAGCGGGGCGCCTTGGCCTTTGGATTGTGTTTGGGATGTTGGTGTAGATTGCTTTGCTTACTGTGGTTGATGTGTTTCAGGATTTGTACTCTGGGGCTTATTGAGGCTTGCTAGCGGTGCCTTGGATGTGGATGTAGGGGAAGACTTGGAAATTAGGGCCCCAGACTTAAAATCATAAAACGAATTCCAAAGGTCCCGTCTCACGGGGCTCCACTCCTACAGCTTCTTGGATGTTCCTGACGGTTTTGAATCACGAGTCAGTCATCCATAGACCCCAGACAAAACACATGGGGGTTTCCGAAATTAGGGGTACCTTATATTATTGGAGTCCTTATCATAAGGGAATCCTAGGTCCCCGGTTTTACATCAACAACGAAGCAAGGACGAAACTCTTAAGCCCCCAGACCTACACCTTATCAGCCCGAAGCCGCTTAGCTCCCATAGAGCCCTGATCACCTACACACCCCCCAAGTCTCCAGATTCACCCTCGAAACTCCTCAACCCTGAACCCTAGACCTTATACCCTAAAACCGTATGCCCTAAACCCTAGACCCTACACCCTATATCATAAACCTAAACCCGGGATACCCATGAAGCCCTGAACCCGAATCGTCTCGAAGCGCCACCGAGGCGCCCTTGAGCTGGGTGTGGCACTTTGGCTGAGGGCTTTTGGGGCTGGTTCAGGGTTTGGGGTTTGGGGTTTGGGGTTTAGGGTTTAGTACGGGTTTAGGGCTGAGGGTTCAGGGTGGAGAGCTAGTTTAGGAGCGAGGCGGCGGGTTCAAACGGGCCTGGGGTTGAGGGTTGAGGCTTTGGGGTGCAGGGTTTGATCCGTTCTGGGCATGCAGGGTTAGAGTGTTTGGAGTCTGGGCTGTTCGGTGCCTAGTACTTTCTCCTTTTTTCGTGCGTTGGCGAGGTGGGGGGCAGGGAGGTTGGCTTGTAGGACTTGTGGGTTCAACGGGATGCTGATTGGCAGGAGGGACTAGGCGGACTAAGTAGTGTTTATACGGTGTACAGCGCTTGGGGCTTTGGGCTTAGTGAGTCGGAGTTTGTTTGATTCCTTCCCGAGGAGTGGTCTTCGTGCAACGACGCACTCGGCTCGGCGGAACGAGTCGTGGCCTTGCTTCTCGGCTTCTGCTGGAAGGGTTGAGGCAGTTTAGGCGTGGGGTTTAGGATGTATAAGTCCACCCCTGAACCCTAAACCCTAAGCTTCCTAACCTAAACCCGATACGCGATCAACCCTGCAATACGGTCTTTTAGGGTGAGGGCTTCAAAGGCCATGAGATTGACGGGGCCAAAGTGTAAGGAGAGTTTCCGAGGACAAGCCCATGTCCAGCCTTTGGCCTTCACCCTCCCCGGTTTAGGGTTTTTTAGGTTTTAGGGTTCAGGGTTGAGGGTTTAGGGCCTATAGCTATACACCCTAATCCCCAAACCTTATGAAGGCCGGTGGCCTCTTTATCTGTTCCCCTTCTTCCTTAATGTAGCCCTTAGATACCCCAAGAAGAACCCCGAATACATATATATATATATATATGTTAATATATATATATATACACACCTTCAACAGAAGCCCTGCTTAAAGAGACCACCAACTCGTATTAATCCAAACCCCCACACCCAGAGCTTCTGTTTGCCGGAGAGTGCCTGAGGCTGGCTTCGGCGAAGGGCGCGGCAAAGAATCGCGCCGGGAGCCGGTCCAAAGGCGCCGGGTTCTATTGTGGGTTTAGGGTTTAGGGTTTAGGGTTTGGGGTTTAGGGTTTAGGGTTTAGGGTCTAGGGTTTAGCAAGTCAACATTGCCAATGCAGTGTGGCAGGGCCACATTTGCTGCGAGCTACCAAGATAAGCCCCAGGTTCGTCTTGGCAGGGTTCCGGCAGTTCCCATGAGCTTAGCCAACTTGCAGCGCCGTGGTGAGTCTTCACGTTAAACCCCACAAACACTGAAGCCCAAGCCCTCAACTCCACCCGAAGAGCCAATTCCTGAAGGAGCCAGGGGCGACATTTGCTTTCGTCACGTCCGCTTCGCATATCCCTCCCGACCACAACGGGAGGCTCGCTGGAGTCGTTACCGTTACTTGTTGGGTCTTTGTGGTTGGAGGTTGTGGGGCTTCTCCCCGGTTGCACTTAAAAAACTCGTTTGGGCGCCTCCGGTCCTTCCACATAGCGTTACTCGGGCCATCTTAAAAGTCATTAAGGTGCTTATTACTTGGGGTCCCTTTGGACTTGAGGCTGTATCATGTGGGTCATCACGTCGCCCGGAATGAATTTGGAAGGCTAGTGCTTGAACTTTGTAGATACACAGCCTGGTACTGTGAGGATCTCATTGTATGACCTCCCTGATAACGGGAAAACCCCAAACCCTAAAACCCCAAAAACCCTGAGCCCTAAACCCTAAACCCCGGGTTTAGGGTTTAGGGTTTGAACCCTATTGAACTATTATGATTATTAATACTAATATTACTAAGAATATTAATCACATGTTATTACTATTCTTATTATGATGATGATGATAAGAAAAAATACGTTCTGTGAATGAAGCCTGGGGAGGTACTCACCGACCTCTGCCTGCACTGCCCGGCCGGGAAGACCACGGCCCTGGTCGGCTTCAGCGGCTCAGGCGCCGGGTTGTTTAGGGTTTTTGGGTTTTTTTTGGGTGGTTTTAGGGGGGGGGGGGGGTTGGGGGCTTTTCGTAGGTTTTAGGTTAGGGTTTGAGGGTTAGGCTTTGAGGGGTTCTGGGGTTTTAGGGTTTAGGGGGTTTAGGGTGTAAGGGTTTAAGGGTTCAAGGGTTTAGTTTAGGGTTTAGGCTTTTTCGGTTTACGGTTTAGGGCTTGGGGTTACTCGGAACTGCAACAGCGTCCTTTGGCCTGGAGGGCTGTAGGCTTCTTTCTCCCACAATTCTGAAGCTCCAAGCCCTGAGCCAAAACCTGTACAGGCCAAGCTCCTCAACCCGAAAGTCTAAACCCTGAATGTGACATTCCGTCCCTGAGGCCGTGCCTTACATGGCTTACATTTGGAGGTACCCAAGCTCAAGACCCCATAAACCCCAAATGCTGCTGTAAGCCCTTTAAACCCCCAAATCCTCAACCCCAAGCCCTCAACCCTAAACAAACCACTTTCAAGCCCTAAACCGCAAACCCCTAAACCCTGAACCCCAAACCCTAAACCCCACAACCGATTCCCTGAATCCCAAGTCTTGTGCCAGGGAAGTCATCACTCTTGGGGCTTCTCCTCCGCTTCTACGACTTGGAGGAGACATCCGAGGGTGGGGAAAGGAACCCAACGCCAGGGTTTAGGGTTTAAGGCTTTCGGGTTTAGGAGGTTTAGGGTTTAGGCCTTAAGCCCCAGCCACCAGGAGGGAGGGGGCTCGGTGACCTTTGACGATGTGGGTGGCCTCAGATCATGCCTTGGCCCTTCAGGGGTCTTCCGGTTCGAGTGGATTTAGGGGGCTGTTGGCCTAGGGTTTAGGATTCTTAGGGTTGATAGGTGTGTGGAACGGTTGCGTTTCCGAACCCAGGCCTAATGGAATTGCCCAAAGCCGTCGTCTGATGTGCTTCAACAATTTGGGGGGGCTGCTTTCTTCTGACAAGCGTGGGGCGGATGGATTATACAGGGATCGGGGCGTGGACGCCCTACTAAACCCTAAACCCGAAGCCCTAAACCACCGTAAACCCTGAACCCTAAGCCACCCTAAACCCCCTCAACCCTCATGCCTAAAAATAGAGCCTAAACCCTAACGCCTAAGCCTTAACGCCTAAAGCCTGCATCCGCTGTGACAAGGTCAACATCTCGGAATACGACCCTGCCTGGTTGCGCAACCATCTCGGGGTCGTAGGCCCCCATGGAAGGGTTTGGGGTTTAAGTATAGGGTTAAAGGGTTACTATAGGTTTTTAGAAGTTTAGGAGTTGAGGGTTTTTGGGGGTTTTAGGTGAATTCGGGGTTTGGGGGGGGGGGGCTGTACGGGTTCGGGTTGGGATGTTCCCCCCTATACTAACAGTCCTTGGCAGGGATTCCCGAGGCTCAGGTTTGGCATTGACTTGTCGGGATTTGCTGACCAAAGACCGAATTTTTGCGCCCTTGACAGCTCAAGGAAGCCAAGGAGTTAGCTCCCTGGAAGTATAGGGGAAGGGACCCCTAAACCCTAAACCCTAAACCCTAAACCCTAGACCCCCTCCGAACAGAAATGCCGAATCCTCGAGGGCAATTGCAAATTGCAACAGTGAGGGTTGCTTGTCTGCTTTTCCGGGGTTGAGGAAACTCCTGGCTTAGGGTTGCGGGTGCAATTTTGCAGTCCGAAGCGAATTTCTCACGCTTCTTGATTTAGGGTTTAAGGGTTGAGGGTTCGGCAACTCACTGGTTCGTGGGAGGAAATGAGGGGAATCAGGCACCGTATATGCCCTACATTGCACCTTTAAGAGCATGACATAGCGTAACTCCCTCGTTCTCTACAAAAACCTAGATACAAGGTACTGAATTCCCTCATCCCTACTAAGAACCAATGAGCCAAGAACGGATTCGCATGAGCCCCCCCCAAACCCTAAACCCTAAACCCCAAACCCTAAACCCTAAACCCTAAAGACGCCACATGGAGTGAACCCAAAGTCCGACACGAACACCGGTGTTTTTGGATATGGGGGGTTTCCGAAATCCAGGGTACCTTATTAGATTCCTTTTGATAAGGGAATCCCATTATTTGGGGTCTACTGTAGGGGTCCCCTATTTTCCTAGACCCGTATATTGTGTTAAACGCAGAACTGAGACGGAATTTTCAAGCCCCCTTCCTGTTCGTTTTTCAAAAATCTGGTTTCTTGAGGTTAATCAGTTTCTCAACTCAGTGGCCCGAAAACGTCGGAAACCCCAAAGCGTACCTAAACCAATGGGACACGGTGGCTACGAGGATGCCGTTCAAGCCTAGAGGAAGAACTTTGCAGCGAGACATTGGGCTTGGAAAACCAAACTCCCAAGCTGTGAAGGAAAAACTTCTAGACCACAACCGAAGCATCTTCTTGTTGACTATACATTGCGTGTAGGGTTCAAAGCCTACAGCATAGTAGCCTAAACCCCAAACTCCATCACGCATCTGGTCGTGCCAGCAGGTCAGCAGCCAAGGCTTTTCCGTGCCAGCATCAAGGTGGGGGGGGGGGGGGGGGGATGATCTTTCAGCTGTTTCAAAGCATGCTGGGACTCCATCAAGACCGCCTGCATCTACATTTGCGATGGCATTGCGCAATATTGCGCAGCTTACCGAGCGCACGCTCTCACCCGCCAAAGCGCGACAACTTAAAGATGAGCATCTAAGCTGTCCCGCCCTCTCCTCACAGGCTCATTGCCACTTGTCTGTGTTTCTTTCTGCCACACTCGGGGTGGCGGTTTGATGCCGCGCACGCTTCCTTCTCTGGGCCATCTTCCGTTGGGCAGGTGGGGGGCTCCGGCTTTTGCTGGTTATCTTCTTCTGCGTGATCCAACTCGCTTTCCAGCGCAGCTCCTGATCACAAAGAGCCTTGAGCACTACAGGGGTTAGGTTTCGTTTTGTGCTCATATAAGGGTCGAACTTTAAAGTATGCAGTGGCCACCACCTGCATCAAACGAAACTCTCAGTTGCGGTCAAGATTGCATCTGGTCTCGAGAGTTGGTCTTGAGAAGTCATTGTTTCAGCCCCTTCCCCAACAACTGCTTTTGTTGTGCGCGTGCCGCCCCACAAATCAAGAGCTGTTGATGAAGCATCGCTGGGCAAGAGCAAAGCGAAGGTCGGCTTTGGAGGGAAGATGGGTTTCGCGGCACTCTAAACCCTAAACCCGAAACCCTAAACCCGAAACCTTCGCCAGGAGAACATTGCCTGGGGCCTGCGGGGCGTCTCCGAAGCCATGGTAAAGCAGGCAGCAGAGGCCCCTTGGGTCTCGGGTCAAGAGCCTTGGGGCTTAGGGTTTAGGGTTTAGGGTTTTAGGGTTTAGGATTTAGGGTTTAGGGTTTAGGGTTTTAGGGTTTAGGGTTTAGGGTTTTAGGGTTTAGGGTTTTAGGGTTTAGGGTTTAGGCATATACAACCCTAAGCTCTGCATGCGAAGCCCTAAATCCTTCGGGCTTGGAGTTCTTCGAGGAGGGGCTCCTGGTATTGCAGGCATAGTCGCCTCGAGATCCCGAGAAATTTCCCGACTTTTCCCACATACTTAAGTTGTCAAATCCCTCTAGATTCTAGATTCAAAACCCGGAAGACCTTAAACCCTAAACCCCCTAGCCCTAAACCGAAACCCTCTATAAGCATACGAAGCCTTAACCCCTGGATCCTCGTGCGCGCAAGGGCTCGAAGAAGTGGCCCTTCTTCCCAGTTCTCAAAGCCAAGCAGGGGCTAGGGGTTCATAGCTTTTCTTATATTTGCATAATGCTCTTCTTATGGGGTGTTTCTGGGGTTTATGAGTCTCTTGCAAGGTTTTTATTGTTGTTTTTGTATGTTTCTTTTGTGTGTTTATGGGGTTTGTTTACCTAGGGTTTATATGGTTTATGATGTATTTAGGGGTTAGTGTTTCTCGCGAGGCCTAGAAGGTAGGTTGAGGGAGCCCTTACACCCTCATTCTAAAGTCCTTCAGGGAGGGGGGAGGGGGGTTCATTGGGTGCAGGTACCTAAGGAAGCGTAGGGAGCCCTAGGGCGTAGTGGGGAGTGTTAGGTAACCTTGGGTTACTTGCCCCGCTTGAACCCTAAACCCTAAACCCTAAACCTCCCTGGAACCCCCCTCCCTCAAGAGCCCTCTAATACCTCGGCAGCAAGCCCGCAGACCGCGAGAGCCGCAGAGTTCATCGAGTCTCTGCCGCAGGACGGGCGGACGGCCTTTGATGGGCTCAGGGGTTGACTGCTATTTGCTTAAGCACCCCTAAAGAATGAAAAATAGGAATCCCAATATAATCCATAACAAGGAGGTTTTTTTTAATGAACAAGAATAATCCCTATATTACCCATAATGAGGAAGAAGGTTTTTTTGTGTTTGTTTATTTTAGGTTTGTTTTTTTTTTTTTTTTTTTGGGGGGGGGGGGGTGTTCTTAAGCAATTAGTAGTTTAGGCGTTTACGGATTGAGGAGTTTAGGGATTTAGGGGTTTAAAAGGGCTTGAAGGGTTTAGCGTGTGAATCCTACTTCTGGTGTGCTGTTCTGAGCTTCTGGGGGATTCCTGTCCAGGTACAGGATGGGGTTGTGTTCTCGAGCTACGAACTTGGGAGTTCGATGCTACCAAAGGAAGTGTGAATCACTTCTGGGGCAGGAGCTGAAGATCGTGTGAAAGATCTTTTTAGTGCAGTGGTAATCGCATGCCTCAGGCTTGCCTGCAGTGGCCCGCATACTCTGAAACTTAGAGCCCTGATGTAAAACCCCAAACCCAGAACCTTAATCCTTTGAGCCAGAACTGAGAGCCTTCCAGGGATACGACACCATTTGTGCGGACGATCGGCTGCTCTCAGGAGGCAGAGGGGCGCCACTGCGCTGTGCTGAGCAGGGAGGGGCCCACAATGCCTTCCCCCCCCACCTCATTGAAGGCCCCGTATCATAGGACTCCCCTTCAAAAAGGGACTCCAAGCCAGCCTTGCCATCATAAAACCCTGAACAACCCTAAGCCCTAAACCATCCCTAAACCCTAAACCCAAACCCTAAACCCCAAACCCTAAACCCTAAACCCTAAACCCAAACCCTAAACCACCCCGAAGTCGCCAGGCCAGCGCCAGCGCATAGCCATCGCGCGGGCCCTCATTCGAGACCCGACAGCCACTCGGCCTTGAGCCTGCGAAGGAAAATCCATAGGGCTTAGGGTTTAGGGTTTAGGGCTTAGGGTTTAAGGTTTAAGGTTTAGGGTTTAGGGTTCAGGGGGACGTTCCCCCTCATAGGAACAGTCCTTAATAGGGACAAAAGTAGGGGGTATTATAATCCCGATGAAGGACTGTTGGTACAAGGGGGAGTGCATCCCCCAGTTTAGGGTTTTATCGCCTTTAGAAATTTGGCTTTAGAGGCTTTAGGGTTCGGAGCGACCGCAATAGGCGATGCAGCCGCCTATATTACTATTTGCTTAAGAACCCCAAAAGAAAAATATATTCCCTATACTACCCTTAAAAAGGAAGAATGTTTTTTTGTTTTGGGGGCTCTTAGGCAATTAGCAGTATAAACCCTAGCCCAGGTACTTCTGCTGGATGAGCCAACATCCGCCTTGGATGCAACGAGTTCGGCGGAGGTCTCGCAAGCCCTGGAGCAGGCGCAGCTTTTGGGGTTTGTGGCTTGGGGTTTAGGGTTCAGGGGTTTAGGGTTTAGGGTTTAGGGTTTAGGGTTTAGGGTTTAGGGGCTTTCAAGCAGGCTCATCCAACTGGTTCTGAGTAGTGACCGAGAGAAGATGGTACCCCCGTCCTTCGAATAACCAGCGAGCCCATGGCAACTTCGCCCACCCTGCATGCAAGCCTCTTGCGGTTTAGGGTTTTTGAGGGTTTAGTGTTAAGGGTTTAGGGTTTAGGGTTTAGGGGTTTTTAAGGGTTTGGGGGTTTTCAGGGTTTTAAGGGTTTCGGGATTTAGTGTTTCAGGGTTTATGGGTTAGGAGCTGTTCCGAGCTCCGTCTTCAACTCGACAAGTTTCGATGCAGTGTGAGGTTAAGCCGGAACACCATGCAAGCAATCCTAAATTCCTTAAGCCCCAATTTTTCCAGGCCTTTGCTTAACTTAGGGATTATAGGGTTCCAAGTTCAGAATAGTTAAGGACAGGGACCAGTGAAGCCGGCCCGAGAAATCAGGCAGCCGGACTTGCCCCCTGTTCCCGGCAAAACCCACGAAGCCCTCTTGTCCAAACACCAGTGGTTGAGTTTAAACAAGGTTTGGCGTTTCTTGGGTTTAGGCTTGAAACGGTTCTGCGGGTTTCGTGCTTAAGGGTTCGTATTTTTTTTTTTTTTAGTGGTGTTTTGGGGGACTTATAATCCCTAAACCCTAAACCCTAAACCCTTACAGGGGCCTCATTGGAGTGTAGGGTTTAGAGTTTCACGCTGCAGGCCCAGTGGTCTGAACGGCGCGGCGTGCACCGAACAGTCATCGCCAGGGGCCTCGGGGGAGCACGACAAACACGCTGTCAAGGATGCCCTGTTTAGGTTTTAGGGTTTAGGGTTTGGGGTTTGGGGGTTGACGTATCTTTTTGACAGGATTAGGCGTTTAGGGCTAGGGTTCAGGGTTTGCAAAGACCTAAGCCCTAAGCCCGTAAATTAGGGAGTCGGAGTTCTCTCAGGGGCTTTCGGGAGCTATCGTTCCTGGCGAAGCCTTCGCCTGTGAACCTCCGATGATACTTCATGAGCCGCAAACCTTCAGGGCCTAAACCGTATGCCCTAAACCCTAAACCCTAAACCCTAAACCCTAAACCCTAAACCCTAAACCCGAAACCTCACCCCGGAGCCCTCTGCAAAATCTGCAAGCTCTCCCGAGATTGTTGCCCACGACCTGCGCCTGTCCATGGTCCAGCATGCGGACAAGATCGTGGTGATGGATGGAGGCTGGGTTTTGGGTCGATGTGCAAGTGTCAGTCGACCTTTAAACCCCTAAACCCCTAAACCCCAAGACCCCTAAACCCCTAAACCCTTGAACCCCTGAACCCCTGAACCCCTAGACCCCTAAACCTCCTAAACCCCTAAACCTTCCCAAGCCTAAACCGCAACCTTCCAAGATCCCAAGCCAGCCCTTACTCAGAGCTTTCGATGCGTCTCAGGGTTTATAGGGTTCCCTAAACCCTAAACCCTAAACCCTAAACCCTAAACCCTAAACCCTAAATCCTAAACCCTAAACCCTAAACCCTAAACCCTAAACCCTAAACCCTAAACCCTAAACCCTAAACCCTAAACCCTAAACCCTAAACCCTAAACCTTTCCGGGTGCCAAGCGTAACCCATGGGACTCCACCTCCTCGGAAGTGCAGGTTTAGGGTCACATACGGTTTAGGGCTTAGGACTGAAAGTTCACAAGTTCACGCCCTTCCTTAAACCCTAAACTTTAAACCCCAAACCCTAAACTCTAAACCCTGAATCCCTAAGCCCTAAGGGGCTTAAAGGGGCTTGCTTCCTTCTCTTGTCCCCTTAAAGAGGTCGGATCGTGGAGGAAGGTCGGCACGAGGAGCTGTTGGAGCTAGGCGGCAGCTATACAAGGCGGGTTTTGAGGCCTTTAAAGAGGCTTTTGAGTGTTTTGAGGCCTCTTGAGGGTCTTGAGGCTTTTGAGGCTTTTGAGGGCTGCTGAGGGCAGTTGAGGGTTTTAAGGCTGTTGAGTGTTTTGAGTGTTCTGAGGCTTTTGAGGGCTTTGTGGGTTTTGAGTGTTTTGAGGGTTTTGAGGGTTTTGGTTTAGGGTTCTTGGGTGCCGACCCACGTACGGTTGTCACCATAAACTTCCTAAGGCCCCCCTTCAAACTTCCCAAGCCCCATAAACTTCCTAAACCCCCTTACTAACATTCCTACCCTTCTAAACCCTAAACCCTAAACTACCCTAAACTTGCAGGGTTTGGGGTCTTTCGGGTAGAGCCTGTTGGTGGATCTGGGTCCCTGCAACCTGCTGGGGAAAAGGCGGAACTTTCGGGAATTCTATGGTTTTGGGGGGGGGGGCGGTTTGTTACGGGGCCTTGAGGAAGTTTGCGAGGGCCGTGGGAAGCTGCATTTGCAGAGTTTAGGGTTTAGCGCACAAGCACCAAAAGCCCCACAAAAGCCCCCAAAATGCCCCGGAAGCCCCCCAAAAACCCAAGAAAACACCCCAAAACCACTCAGCCCCAAACCCTGAAACCCCACAGACCTAAGCCCCCCCTCAGGCTGCTACAGGCCCCCTCCCCGGAATTAGAACACATGGTTGGGATTTTGGGTTTCAGGATTTTAGGTGATAAAGAAACACCTGGGAGGTTAGTTCGAGATCAGCGACTGCCCACAGAGCATACGCCGCACGTGTGAGGCAAAAGGTTTTAGGGCTTAGGGTTTAGGGTTTAGGGACCCCAAACCTTCTTTCTAAGTTTGGGTTTAGGTTGGTTGGTTTAGGGTATAGGGTTGCAGGATTTGGGCTTTTTTGGCTTTTTGGGCGTGTTGGGCTAGAGTTTTAGAAGGGTTTGGGGCGAAGAAATCCCGAAAATGACCCCAGGTCGTGAGCCCTCAACAGTCCACGCTTCAGGGAGGTTCGGCATCGTGCGGTCTTGAGTTTTTGGGGTTCAGGGTGGAGGGCCGGTTTAGAGGTTATACCTATACCGGGTCTCTGTAGGAAATCTTTGGACTTCGAAGCTTGCCCCTCCTTAGCTTTGGATTCGAGTAGGGGGCGTATAGGGCCTCATCTCTTGAAGAAAAAGCCTAAAAGCCTGAAACTCCCAAGCCCCAAAATACCCCCCCCCCCCCCCCCAGTCCCAATGAAACCCCCCCTCGAGCAGCGGTCTCTTGTTGGAGTCCACGAAGTGGCCCCCGTAGACCCTGTCCCACGGTAGTGCTAGCCTCGGCCCATTTTTTGTTGGGCTTTCTTTGCCTGACGCCTGCGATCGCAGCTGGCTCTCAGCTAGGACACGTGACAAAACTTTGCAAACAAAGTCCATCAAAAATCGGCAGTGTGCACAGGGCCAAGTTCTAGTGATCCACCACCTCAACGCAAGGTGGTAAGAGAGTTGTGGCTGCTAGCCGCGGTACGCTGGTAGGCTTCGGAGGTTTGTGTGCGCCAGATCTGAATGCTTCACATGCAAGCTCGGGGATGTGGGGTTAGGATAGCTTAGGGTCTAGGGCAGTTTAGCTTCTTGCTTTACCCGGGCATCACGTAGACCTGCGTTGGTCTGGGATTCCGTGCTTTCACTGCGGCATCATAGGGGCCAGCGCAGCGGACTTTGGCAAGCAGTTGCATGAGCAGCGCCGGCCTGCTTGACTTATCGGCTCCTCAGAGGCTCCATTTGTGTACCATCCTGGAATGAGGGCCACGAGCTTTGGAGCTTTAGGGCAGCTCTACTTCAAGAATGGTACTGCCAACGGAGCCTCTGAGCATAAGACTCCCAATATTTGATGAGTCTTCGGGTGTGGAGCCCAAAAGAGCTTATAGCATGTAGATATATACATATATGTATATGGCGATGTGACTAGCTCATGATGACACGATTGAAAAAGCCCTGCTTTATCAAAGGGTGTAGGGTTTAGGGTTTAGGGAGTTTAGGGTTTATATTTTCGGGTTTTGGGTTTAGGGTTTAGGGCTGAGTCAGCCTCCTATGACCTGGGTCTAGCTTGCGAGTCGCTTTGCCTTTTCAAGAGTAGTGTGAGATTGGAATGCGTCCACCCGATTCCAGGCTTGGATTTCAGGGTTTAGGTTTGCGGTTTCACCCGGTGCCTTTGGCTGAACCCTGAACCTTAAACCCTAAACCCTAACCTTTGGCTGAACCCTGAACCTCAAACCCTAAACTTTTTTAAACCCTAAACCCTAAACCCTAGAGCCAAACCCTAGCCCTAAATAGACCCTCAGAAAGCCTCTCCCTGCCTGCCAGGAACGTCGGCCCGCTCCGACGCCTCCTGCGTCCAAGGCCAGTAGAATAGCTTGCGGGCCCAAAAGCACACAACATAGGAGTTCTTAGAGTTTAAGGGGTTGGTAGTTCTCACTTGGCTTTGGAGGGTTGTAAGGTTGTAAGGGCATATTTTTGAATTGTTTCTCGTATTCTGTTGATGTCGTTGCAGAATTTCTCCTGGAGCAAGAGAATAAGAGTGTTGATGTTTGCTGGTGTCGGTTGCGATTTCATGAATGGAGTCTCGCTTGCTCGTGGAGAGGCACCGGCCCACTCTCCCTCGCCGCCTGCATCTCGGTACTCGGGGAGGGCGGGAGGGCCGCCTAGGCTCGAGCATTTCAAGTTCACCCTCGTGTGAAACATGTAAAGCCCCAAGCCCCCTAAACCCCAAGCCCTAAACCCTAAACCCTAAACCCCAAACTCCAAACTCCAAACCCCAAACCCCAAACCCTAAACCCTAAACCCTAAACCCTAAACCCTAAACCCTAAACCCTAAACCCTAAGCCAATTCAGGGATAGGGCGGGGCGGGGGGGAGAGCTCGTGGTTGCCACTCGGAGGGCTTAGGCTGGGGGGTTCAAGGCTTAGGGTTTGCAAAGCTGAAGGCATGACTTCCGGAAGCCAAAACCCTCAGCGCCCCCCCTTCCAAACCCAAAGCCTTAACCCCCCCCCCCACCTGACCAAAAAAGAAGTCAAACCAACCCTAAACCCTAAACCCTAAACCCTAATTAAACCCTAAGCCCTCAGCCCCAAACCCTAAACCCCAGGAAGCCCGACTTCATGCACTACCCCGAAACCTTCAACCCGAAGCCTTAGCAAAAGCGGCCCAGGGAACGATGGGTACTTCCTTGATCCGCGCCTGCTGCGAAACTCTGACGCAGGACCGAGGGAGGGTTGTGGAGTTAAGACTTCAGGTGTGAGAGCCCACAGGAGAGGAACGTAAGAAACAAAAGAGGAACTGGGCCCCTCGTTGGGCTTCAAGGTACAGTTGAGTATGAGCCGGGTCAGCCCCAGAATTCAGTCCCTTCACAGAACCAAGACTTCTGAGAAGATAACCCCAAAGCCGCAGAACCTCTTAGTGCACCAAGGCGAAGGGCCTCCATAGCGCCAAGCTATCACAGCTCCGTACCAGCAGGGTTGTGAGTCCGGCTTTTGTTGGAACAGTCCCAAGTGCACCCAACACGCAGATTGAAGGGCTCGCAAGCCCGAAAGGCCGGATCCCAAGGGAAACAGCGGAACCTCGGCCTTGGCACTTGTTGGCACCTTGCCCCATCAGGCAAAGACGGCTCAAATTGAGCGAGTGGAGGCTCCCAGCTCGTTTGCCATGCAGTTCTTCAAGCTTTAGGGTTTAGGGGGTTTAGGGTTTAGAGGTCTTATAAGGGGTTAGGGTTTAGGGTTTAGGGTTTAGGGTCTAGGGTTTAGGGTTTAGGGTTTAGGGTTCTGGGTCCACCACGAACCCCCGAAGTGCCCTTCCCATCCTTCCCTTCACGTCTTCGACCCGAAGATTCCATGTACCTATATCGTGCATACCCGGGCCTTAAAGGGGATACCCAGCAGTTTACCTTGTCGGCCCAAGTAAATACTATGTAGGTACATGGACCCTTGGGGAGAGTACCTTCAGTTGCTGTGCTAAGACCGAAGTTCTAAGCCAGACGAGCCATGGTTCTTCTGCCTCAGAAGTACTTATAGTTACGTACCGGCGTATGTTTACACATGGACAAGGTGACTCTTATCAATATCACCTGACCTTCTAGGAACGCGAATGGCGAAGGCCCCCCAATTGCGGTTTCGTCCAACTTGTGGGCGCGCCCTTCGGTAGCCGAAGCTGTTTAAGGTAGTAGAAGACAGAACCGCTCCACCATAATATGGATCACCCAGCAGCTTTCACGAACATCCCGCAACCTTTCGCAACTTCTGGCGCCTGTTTGCCGTTTTGCGTAAGGTTTGTGGTTTAGGGCTTCCGGTGTCGGCGCCCGTGCCCTGAACTTAAATTCCCTAAAGCCCCGAAACCCAAACCCTCAGCGGCCCTTACCCCTACATAAATCTAGGGGTTCCTTGCGCTGCGCAGGATCTGTCCATGGAAGTGTACGAAGCCAGACAGGCGCAGGGGCTCCGTTGCAGAAGAGCTTTGCAGGTTTTGAGAAGGCTGTGAGTCCTTGCACCTCTCGTACTCCCTTATGGTCCCTACACGTATATACTTATACGAGAATAACCCCCCAACACCTATTCTAATTATTGAGGCCCCAATATTAGGGGTTCAGTGGTTTAGTGGTTTAGGGGGTATATGGGGTTAGGTTTTCCGGGGTTTAGGGATGAAGCTCAGCAGCCCATAAGCCCAAGGCAGCACGAAGTCGTTAGAAGACCTCACCCTAAACCCAAAACCCTAAACCCTAAGCCGATGCCCTCAACATCAGAGGAGCACAGGGAAGCCATAGGCTTGAGCGTTTTACATCCACGAGCCCCATGCAATCGATCCTCATCCCTGTCTCGAAGAATAGTTTTTTCTACAGCGGGTTTTGGGTCTAGGTTTGGGGGCTTAAGGTTTATAGGGTTTCGGGTTTAGGGTTTCGGGCTTAGGGTTTAGGGGAAAGTTTAGGACCCCCGACGGCCTTACAGGAGAATCAGCGCCTCAACCGCCAGCTGCATCGCATGCGGATGTCGCTGAAGGAGCTCTTTCTAAACCCCCTAAACCTTGAACCCTGAACCCTGAACCCTAAACCCTAAACCCTAAACCATCTGCAAAACCTCAACTCTCAGGCCCACTACACCCCGATATGCGTGATGAACCCCAAGCCTGGAAACGGGGTCTCCAGGGAGTCTGAGGGCACTTTAGGGGTCCACCTGTTCCTGCCTACCTTAGGGTTTAGGGTTTAGGGTTTAGGGTTTAGGGTTTAGGGCTTAGGGTTTAGGGTTTAGCCAAACAAACAAGTGAGTTGAGCCAGGGTCTGGGGCTTTGGGAAGCAGGCATTGCCACCACGAGCGTGTGTGCAGGAGGCCCATGCAGACCATTTGTTTTTTTGGGGCGACGTCCCTTGTGGAAAGCCCTAACCCCTAAACCTTAAACCCTAAACTCTAAGCCCTAAGGCCTAAGCCGAAGGCCCTAAACTGAACCATAAACCCTAAACCCATCGACAATGTGTAAATCCCACTTGCGATTGTAAGTGGGCGGTCTTGGAGGGGGGGGGGGTAGGTCTGCAGACGGCTGCGCGCTCGCCCAGCGCGCTTCCTCGCCCAGCGCGCTTCCGTTTTTGGTACGGTTTAGGGGTTTATGGTTTATCGTTTAGGGTTTATCCTTAAACCGCCCCAAACCCCTATAGCCCTAAGCCACGACTTGTCCTTAAGGCCTTAGCCCGACCTGAGCCCTAAATCCTAAACCCTAACTCCCAAACCCTAACTCCTAAACCCTGACTCCTAAACCCTCCATCCTAAACCAAAAT